AGACTAGTATAGATCTATTTCAAGCTATTTAGCTATATATATATATAGTTATTGGTTGCTAAATTATACTTCCTTGCATATGCTGTGCTATAAGTATTATTTTGTATTTATAATGGATAGCTAGTATAGTTTTACATTTACTGTTTTTTATACTTTTTGTAAATTGTAAATAAACAGAATATGATTGGAAGATGGTATAATGATATTTAAATGCATAAAATGCAGTACACAAATTATTTTAACAGACTAAAATCTATATTTTACAATATTTTTGGTATTTTTCAAAGTTAAAGATTATTATGTCTCAGATTATTCCATATAATTTAATAGCTTCCATAAAGCATAACTTCCTATGAAGCTTAATTATTCTACTGACAAAAGAGACCAGATTAGAATTAGTCGGTAAAAGGGAACGAATTTTTATTGATCATTTAGCACAAAATAAGTCAGGAATTTAAAAAAAATGAAACAAATTCTACATCAAAGAAAACCACCTTTTTAAATCTGGTATCAATAGTGTAATTCTAGTGATAAATTAATTTTGTTTTAGCAACACAGGGAATATATAAATTTCTGTCATTGTCTTTTTAAATAATTCCCAAAAGTTACAGACTAGCTCCAAAATATCGGTTCCCAGTTGCATTTGAAGACGTGTACTCAGTATCAAAATACTTTCTACAAAGCAGCATTCTGGAGAAATATAATGTAGACCCAAGCCGCATCGGCATTGCAGGGGACAGCGCAGGAGGTGGCTTAGCTGCAGCTGTAACCCAGCAGGTAAGAATTACCCATTTGAAAGTAAATCCAAAATGGAATTATACATGTTACTTATCTCTGTTATCTCAAACTATGCTGATACTAATTTATTTACATTGGGGCTTTTCACACTATACACCTAAGAGCAGGAAGTCATAATTTTTAATAACCCTGAAAGATTCAGGATCTTCTAAGATATCCAAAATGGAGGATCATAGAATTATGCATGTTGATTGAACCCCGACTACCTGAAATTATCACGTAGTCTATCACCTTGGGGTATAAATAAGAACTAGCTGCAGCAATTAGCAATCAGGGCAACTGCTGGGCCTTTTCGCATTAGATGGGTAAAAGTGGATATCTAGCATTTTAAAAGAAAGTCCTAGATTTTTAGTTTGCTGATTTGCCCGGAGCAAGAAATCCATACAGGCCATCTACAATGTTGAAATGAGCCCAAGAAGACAATTGATTCAGGAGGAAATCCACTAGACAGCACCTTGCAATGGTTATTTCATTGTGAAAAATGTAACTTCAGCCCCATTTCAAGAATAAAGCAAAATGAACAATACCATCAAAGTAACATATCTTCCAGTATTTTATTTGCAATTTTCCTCAAAAGTCAGTGCTATAGAAAATTGCCAGATTACAAATACTGTGAAAACATATCATTTAGGGTTTTCCCCTATAATTTTGAATAAGAGATATAAAATGTATAAACTTTGAAATTTTAATGGATGTTTTGCTTATATTATGAAATATGAAACATATTAAATAGTCCATCTTTCACAGGAAAAATATTTCTAATAAATACTTTTCTTTTCTAGCTTCTAGATGACCCTGATGTCAGAACTAAATTCAAGATTCAAGCTTTATTGTATCCTGGTCTTCAGAGTATTGATCTAGAATTGCCATCCTATCAGGATAATAAAAACATACCAATTCTGTCTAAAACATTAGTAATAAGATTCCTCAGTGAATATATTACATCAGATGAATCTTTTTCCAAAGCTTTAGAGACCAACCAACATGTTCCTGCAGAGTTCAACCATCTGTTTAAGTTTGTAAACTGGAGTAAGTGGCTCCCTGAAAGATTTAAAAAAGGCCACNAGGATCAGCAAGTAAGCATAAGAATTTTATTCCACTACTGTGGGTCTCAAATAAAAAATGAATCTATTTATTCTGACGTCCCGGGGCTTTCATTGAGAGATAACAGAGATAGACAACATTCTTGAGTCAGTGGTTAATTAATGAATTTTTAAGACCATCCTGATGATTCTCATTAAATGAATCACATTGTAGGTACAATTTCACAATTGTCAAAAGGTAAATTGATGAGGTTGTGCCTCCCAAATTCTCTAGCTCTTGCCAGTTTATCTGCTTGCCAATTTTAATTTGCAATGTAATCTGAGCAGCAGGGGAAAACGAAGTACTAACTGCTGCCATCCTATTATTTTCATTCCCTAGAGATATTTATGGGATGTAGGGATTCTCAGACATAAAGGAGGCTGTTACCTTGTTAGTTTCCCATTAGAAAAAAATCCCACTTCTTTCATATCTGATAGACCATTGAGCTCCACATAGATGAAGGAAGACATACCCCAGATACACAAAAACTGCTTAATCGGTGAAAAAGTATTCCTACATCAACCTAAAGATGGGAATGTTTAAAACCCATTTTAAAAAAATTCACTTCCTGTTGACTACCTGCTTCTCTGTTTTGGTAGATTTTCTTGGCAGCCTCAGCAAGAGCAGAATCATTCTAAGGAATCCCTGAATGGTAGAGGTTAGAACCATTTATCCCTGCTTCAATAATTTTATGATGCTCCCAACATTAATTTCCACTCCCAGAATTCCTCATCCAGTAACATTTTGGGCACTGGCATAAACAAATCTTCAAGTTGCTAAGATTGGGAAAGATTCAAGTAGAGATTCATGGAAAGTTCCCAGAAAGTCCCTCCCAAAAGAAACTAAAAACACTCATTAGAATTTGTAGGCTTAGGACTTCAAACCTCACATGAACATGAGGCAGAAACAATTCTGCTATTCATAAAATGAGCTTGATGTTTCTTAGTTTTCTATGGTAACATGCTGGTCTCACTCTTGTGGTAGTCTAAAGACCTTGTCCCATATTGTTTTTGATGCATGCACTGTCTATTGGTATTGCAAGAGTAATAAAACATGCTTTGCCACTTATTTTTCACAGCCATGAAATCCTATGACCTCTTATCAAGATGGACATCAGAAAGACTAGGTGCTATTGTGGTGTCAGTCGAGTAAGAATGGTGCTTGAAGGAGATATTTTTGTTCCTTAATCTTTTTCTAATCTTTTTCTGTAAGCAAAAAAAATGATAAATGATACTAATAGTACAGACTGGCACATTGAAGCCCCGTATACTGTATATTGTTATTGGTTGCAAAATTATATTTCATTGCATATGCTGTGCTATAAGTATTATTTTGCATTTATAATGGATAGCTAATATAGTTTTACATTTACTGTCTTTTATACTTTTTGCAAATTGTAAACAAACAGAATATGATTGGAAGACAGTATAGCAATATTTAAATAGATAAACTGAAATGCACAAATCATTTCTAAAGGTCTAAAATCTACATTTCACAATATAAAAATATAACAAATATCAGCCTTTTGTGGTAATGTAGATTTTATTTATTTATAGGGTTTGTATGTCGCCCACTCTCGAGAGACTCAGGGCGGCTTACAGATAAAAAACCCAACACTATGAGTAGTAACAATACCTTTATTGCAATGTTGTAGTAACAGAATTTTGCTTTTCTTCCCCTACTGCCTTTACTTTCAAAGGAACCAGCATGGTCCCTTCTGAGA